CCCAACTTTTCAGCTAGCTAGCGGTACCCCCTCTCCCCACTATTGTTTGCATTGGCCATTGAGCCTCTGTTGGCACGAATTTGGGCTAGTAAGGATGTAGTGGGTTTTCGACATGGTAACGTCCACGAGAAAATATTGTTATATGCAGATAATGTATTGCTTTTGCTTGGCAATACAGACCCATCCTTATGAACAACCATGCATATAATCTCTCAATTTGGGAAATATTCTTGGTTAATAATTAACTGGTCTAAGTCAGCCCTGATGCCACTTGATGGGGTCACGGATTCAGCAATATCTACTTTCTGTCCAATTATAATAACGACCTCCTTTAAATACCTGGGTGTTCTCATTAATTCCAATTTACTAGACTACTGTTGATTAAATCTAGCCCCATTGCTGAGCCAATTTAAAGACAAGGTGAAGATATGGTCTAAGTTCTGGTTGTCTCTGGCAGGTAGAGCGAACCTTATAAAAATGACACAATTGCTGTACTTTCTTCATAACTCTCCAGTAATGATTCCGCTGAAAACTTTCTCGATCAGAAATATTATTTTTTGCTCCTTACTTTGGGGAAACCACCCACCACGGATACAGATAGAACAGTTACAGCATCCTTAGGAAAGAGGGGGGGATATAGCTTTGCCCAATACATGGTTGTATTATCTGGCTAGTCAGGTGCACTATCTGTATAAAGGTATGGCTGAAAGAGACACCACCTTTGCTATGGCTGATGAGTCTACGCCACAAGTGATGTTACATTGTACGGCCTCTAGCTCATTACCTGAAGATCTTGAGGCTCAATCTTTTTGTAAACCAAATAAGTCCTTCCCTATCTATCAACTAATACATTAAATATGGGTTAAGGTCAAGCAGCTGCAGCAGGTTACAAGTCACACCACATATAGTCCCATATGGAATAACGCATCATTACCAGAACTAGCCAAGCTACAATATGCCTCTAAGTGGAAATCCTATGGGATAACTTATTTTATGCATATATTCGACAATGGTCAACTCATATCATTTGATACATTGAAGTCCAGGTATAATTTACAGTCTACAATGTTATTTTATTACGTACAGTTTAAACATGCAGTTGCCACTCAAAGCCCATTAGACTTATCGCACCCTCCCCCACCCCCATTTTCAATTACTTGCACTCAGTTATAACTGCTAAAGGGCTTATTTCTCGCTGATATACCATGCTTCTGACAGACTATTTAGAAAAATACCCAAATAGGGCTAGTGGGCAGTGGGAGCGAGATGTAGGGGCTTTTGAGGGAGACCAGTGGGCAGTTGCACTGCAGTCTATCCATCTTAACTCACTGACGGTTTCTCACCGTATATCACAATGATATATTGTATTTAGGGCTCATTATACACCAGATAAAATGTGTACAATGGGGCTATGCCAAGACCCTCTTTGTGGCAGATGTAAGCGGGACCATGGGGATCTTATTCACATGCTATGGCGGTGCCCGAAACTTCATTGATATTGGGAGGAAGTGGTCAACACTCTTAATTTAGTGTTTCAAACTAACCTAATTCTAGACCCTAAACAATGCTTTTTGGGTATTTTAGGTAATGTTACCCAAGATACATTTATACTAGAAGCCCTCTCCAAGGCCCTGTTCCAGGCACGCAAGGCTATTTTTGTGCGTTGGAAATCAGAAACTACTATGGAGGATTGGAGACAGAATGTGGGAACCATCTTACAATACAATCATTTAATTTACCAGCATCATGGGTGCCCAGATAAATTTGAGAAACTTTGGGAAGCATGGTTTGCCACTCCCGGTCTAGCCCCATTTGATTTGATAGTGCATAAGCTGTTGTAATTATCCTTTCATGATGTACTCTGTCTGCTGCTTTTTTACAACCTGCCAAGGTTCACCTGGATTATCAAGTAGGGAGATCTATATGCTCTATTTTCCACTGGTCCACTACTGGAGAGGAACCTCTGCTACTCTGTGTGTGTGGGGTTCAACATATGACTTTACTGCACAATAATACCCGAATTTAGTTCTATTTATTTTTTCATTAAACAACTGGTAACACTGGAAATTTAATTTTCTTACTTTTGTTCTTTTTGTTAATGGATGATTCTTTCTTACAGTTTTATAAATGGCACTATATTCTGTTCTTTGTATGCCTTAAACATTAATAAATTATATTTCTGATTTAAAAAAAATATGTTTATTAAACTATGGTTTGATAAAGGGGTGGTCCTGTTGCTCTGAAACATGTAGTCATGCCCCCATGCCACCATCACCCAGCCGAGAGAGGTGCTGATTGGAGATGCAGCAATCCTGCTACACCTGGGAGCCGCTACTGCCTATGTTCCAACCTGAAGCTTGAAGCCTGACAGCTGTACTTCTGCGAAGACCTTTGCTTCAGATAGCTGCTTCTTGCTGGGTTCTGCAGCCTCAGTATGATATGGAGGCCTATATGGGTTGACGAAAAGTCTTGATCCACTTTTAACTAGAGAGTGCATTTTATTGTCTTTTATTCATTTTTATAAATCTCTACCCCTAGATGGAGGTGCTCTCGTGTGTTTGCTTTGTTAAGCTTTACGTGCCTGCTACAGTGAGATCCTATGCTTTAAGATAAACAAATATGTACAGTTTTACCCCAGCTGACTTCTCTAAAAGGGAAGAAGGACAAGTAGACGCTTAGAATTTATCTGACACATTTTTGAGCTGTGGTGAGGTCTACCACATAGTGAAACAGTATGCATGTGATGATTGTCAGGACAAGTTCAAATAATTTTTTAAATGCACACATTCCTGGTAAAGGCTGTTAGGTAAGTGGGTGCTATAGTGACCACCAGCTGGAAACACTCAGTGGTAAGGATATGGCACCATCACACCAAGGACCTCCAAAAAAAGCATCCAAAGCTTTATCTGATGATCACATCACAGCTAAAACAGCATAATTTTGAAGACATGTTGGACCCTTTCATAAGGCATGTGATGTTGAAATAAACAGAGAACCAAATCTATAAAATCAAAATTTCTAATGTTCTCGGCTAATAGGCAAAGGGTTTATAAAAGCATGGGGTGGTAACTGCCCTTGGGAACATGTACCAGGGCAAAAAAATTAAACAATTCCATTTGGCCAGGAGCAGTGATTTTAAAGCCCTTACACATACAAAACAAAAAATGATTTTAAGTTGGCAGCAAATTACCTTTCCCTTCTAGCTTCTATTTGTAAAAGCAATTGCACACAGACTCAGACTCCTCAAAGGGTCCCCCAAAATATTTGGGTGACTTTTGGAGGGGTCTGTGTGTTGCATTTCATTTTTTTTTAAAAAGAAGCTGACAACAAAATGTAATTTGCTGGCAATTTAAACTGTATAATTTTTTTCTTTGTAAATGTCACTTTTCATGTAGCACATCCTACAGCAAAAAAAAAAAAATGTGTAGAGCTCCACTTTGAGTCTGATATGGACTTTAGGGGGCTCCTCAAGCAAAAAAAGAAAAATAAAAGTGTGAGGTCCCCCTAAAAATCCATGCTTGATGCTTAATCTGAGCACAGCCTGGCTGGCAGGGAGAAAGGGGGGTAAGCTTGAGCCTCCCCCCGTGCCCCACTCAACATTGGGGGGTACACTGCAAGTTAAGTGATCCCTCTGGCAAATTGCCTTGTCCAAATGTTGATGAGAACAAGGGACTCTTCCTCACATCCCTGGCCCAGAGGTTGTGGGGATCTGCAGGTGGCCAGGGGAGACTTATTGGAATTTGGAAGCCCGCTCTAAAAGTAAGTACTATACATAGTACCCCTACTCATTCAAAAAAATATACAAGGCATACAAATAAAGACATACAAAATGTTTGTAGAATCTTTTAAAACAAAAATCCCCCAAAATGTACCTCATGTTAGATCCATCAGCAATCATGAAGCCCGTTGACTCACCAAAATTAAAAACCAAATGACCTACGTTACCAAGCCATCAGTACTGCTGTCGCACTTTGAGTGACAATTGCACGGTCATGCAATACTGTACCCATATGAAATTTTTATCATTTTCTTCACACAAACAGAGCTCTTTTTTGTGGTATTTAATCACCACTTGATGTTTTATTTTTTGCTTAACAAATGAAAAAAAGACCAAAAATTTAAAAAAAAGGTTCTCTATTATAAAATTTTGCAAACAGGTAATTTTTCTCCTTCACTGATGTGCATTTATGAGGCTGCACTAATGGGCAATGAAAGGCAGCACTGATGGGTGCTGATAGGCTGCACTGATGGGCACTGATGAGGCATCACTGGTGGGCATTAATGAGGAGGCACTGATGAGGCTGCACTGATATGCAGCACTGATGGTCACTGGCACTGATTGTGGCACTGACTGGTGTCACTGATGGGCACTGACTGGCCGCACTGATGGGCACAGATTGGCAGCACTTATGGGCACTGACTGGCAGCACTGATGGACCCTGATTAGCATTGATGGGCAATGTTGGGGCTGCACTGATAATCAGGGCACTGATTATCAGTGTAGATGTTTTCTTTCACATGTACCGTTATCTGCACTTTCCTCACGTTATGACAGCATGAGAAAAGTACTGCCGATAACCAGCAAGTGTGTTTACATCATGATCAACTGTGATTGGGCACAGCTGATCATGTGGTAAACGACCTCTGTGATTGTCCCTTTACCATGATATGTGATCATCTGTGAGCACCGGGTGCGCGCCACAGCGGATATGCATGAAGGGGGGTGTGGTTCTGGGAGGACATCACATGACGCCCTCCCAGAACTGTATGACCACGCTATAGCCATCATTCAGTTATAACGCAATCAGCAGGTTGTTAAAGCCCAACTCTACATTGCCCCCATCATCACACTGCTATGGTTAACTGCTAGTTTAGTCCAGTGAGATAGAAATAAGCAGCAATACTAACCTTATTCATTGTTCCCACATACATCCTCCCAACATTCAGCTTTAATTTACCTTTCCTATTGTAATTTTGGAAATATTAAAGTGTTACTAAACCCAGCACCCTGCATCCACTATATCTGCTCTCCTACAGTACACAGAAGTGCAATTATTTTAATAAATATAAACTGCTAAATACCTTTTCTCATCAGAAGTTAGAGCAGTCTTGTGACTTCTATCCGTATCCAGCCCACCACTAGCTAAAGCTTGTAGGAGAAGTTTTATTTCTGCTCTAGGAGGATGCAAATCCCATGACCTCTGTCTGGACAGTGCTGATTGGCCCTGTGCTAATCACGTGCACTCTCCAAAGAAAAAAAAAATCCTCTCTAGCAATACACACCAAACTGAGCATGTGCATGCCTACGGTTCAGTTTGGAAATAAGAGGTGGTCACTTGAAAAAGGGGAGGAACAGGATCAAATGGCCTTTTTACACAATGCACAGGATAAACCCCTAAGGTCCCACAATGAGTATAACAAACATGCTTTACTGCATATAGAGGCTGATTTTACTGTTGTGGGTTTAGTAACACTTTAAAGACTTTTAAAGCAAGGTTGCAAAATCCTGGCTATGCGATAGAAGCCCTTTGGCTAACCTGAAGAATAAGCTTGTTATAAACAAACAAGCATTTCCATCCTACCATGTCTACAGTAAGTCCTACTCTGAGATGGTAACATTTTTCCACTGTAATTTTTTCATTATAATCATCATTACCAAATTGTGAGAGTTTTTTTCAATTGCTTTAGACAACCCTGAACATTTTATTATGTGAGAAAACAACAGAAGTTATTAAATCCCATAAGACAAAAGCCCACAAAAAATATTATTTCATTGTAGCAGAAGAGGTCTTGAGTAAAGGTATTTTGTTCAAGAATTTCAGAGTGATAGGAATACACTTACACAGGTGACATTCAAATGTACTGAAGAGGCTATTAATGAAGAAATTAATTATTTCTGGCAAGCAGGGAAACATACAGTACATACTTAGGAGAAGCTATAAAACCATCATTGTTTCTGAGATATAATTCAAGATAAAACGACATAAAAAAACAAGCCTGTGACTAAAAAAAATGAAAAAGCACTGTTATTACATGTGTAACCAACTACATTTCTACTGAAAATGCTGCAAATTAGTATTTTGAAAAGAACAGTATCTGCATGGAAATTCTGCATGTAATACCTATTGGTCAATTTACAGAGAAGAAAATGTGCCTTACTTGTCGGTTATTTACTGTATTGAATTTTTTTATGCTATTATATTGATTGCAGTGTTAACATAGTCATATGTACTTTTTCTTTCTTAATTTCGAAAAAAGAAAAATAGGTAGTATCAACAGATCACCCAGACAGGCCTACTCTTGATTTATAAACTGTGTTGAAAATAATAGCAGGAATCGTATTGCTATAGAGGGTATTTTTCTTGTCATTTTGGTTTAGGTTTTTCTTACTAGGAGACTTTACCTGTCTATTGCCAGATGGATAATTTTTTTCACACTACCTATCCTTCTTATCCAAACCCAGTGCAAGTAATTCTAGTCTTCCTAATTCTGCTTCCTGTTAAATTGTGCAGCAATGTTACCTCTGTCTGTATGTGTTCCCAACAAAGTTGTAACAACCTATTTCCTGCATATGAATATATACAGCCTAGTTTCTGTATAGCTGACTAGCTGCTGTAAAGGAGCAGGGAGTTGATTTTCTTGAAGAGAAGAGGAGTTCTTAGAGTTCATCTGCCTTGGAGACCAGTGGAGAGAGACAGTGGGAATAGACACCAGAGCAGCACTTCCAGGAATAGAAGCAGACTCTGGGCAGAACAGAAGAGAAAGAAGGTGCTTTTAAGTGCAGTACATCCACATGTTTATTGGTAAAAACAGTTAAAACTACTTACAAAGCATGATAAGGCTCAGGCACATAGAATGTCAATGCAGGGCTCCTGTCACTGTTTCCTGGATCTTATTCTGCCATCCAGTAGCAGCAGGGGGAGCTCAGGTGCAATTCCAAGATGGTCGCCGCTCTTCGTGGGCCGCCATTGAATGCATGCCATCCGTGTGGAACGCACGTCCCAGGAGTGATGTCAATGGTGGGAGGTGACACCTTTCAGAGCATGAGCAATAGCTTATTCATCAAGACCTTTGTAAGTGGTTTAAACCATTTTTACCAATACACATGTGGATGTACTGCACTTAGAAGCGCCTTCTTTCTCTTCTGTTCTGGATTGATTTTCTTAAAGGCAAGGAAAGTTCCACTGTCCAGGGAAATGTCCCCCAGTGTTCAGTGAATGTGGTGAAATTTCCCTTTTCAAAGAATACTGAATGACCTGCAAGGCAAATTTAAAAAAAAAATGCTTGCACATGTTTGGATGATGGAAGTCAGTAGAGTTTTACCTCATTCACTAAGTTCTAGGGATGTTTCCCTTGGAAGGTGAACAGTCTATTCATCTTTAATAAATCAACCCCATGGAAGATGTTTGTGTGGCAAGTAGGGGATCATGGGATGCCCATTGAACATACACATGCTGTCCAATTAAAAACAAAAATGGTTCAAAATATTCACTAGAAATTTCCAAAACTGTTTCATGCAACAATAACTGCTAAATTTAGGTTAAATCACAGTTTTGGTAAAACAATATTGTAACGGAACCGACCCCAGACTGCGCTTGGGTACTTCCGTCAGAATACCGCTTCCCCATCCGAACGTCGACAACAGACACCACAGCTGACCATACAAGACTAGACGACAACAATCTTGAAGTAATCCAGAAGGTAGACTAGGTTATTTTAATACAGATACAAGATATATACACTCAAGGGAACAATCCCCCCTCCCTGCATAATGACACAGGGCGGGGCAATCTACATTTAGTAACAGAGACAAACCAACAGACAGTCCCATCAGGAGGGAGGGCTGCTGGAGACACCCCCCACCAAGCCAATACACATAAGCACATACATCCCATAATAGTTTGCTCCCAAGCAAGACACACAATAGAACAATGGGATGCAACCACATGGCAATTAAACAATCTACAACCCCCACCCCACCTATACATGTCTACACAATATTAGGACAGATCATCCTGTACTCCTAACAGGCACAGGGTAATTTACACATAATAGGGATATGGGGAGCTGAGACAGGGGTCTCCCCACCTCTCCAAAGTGAGCTGGGTTCCATGGGCCCACCCAAAGTGACTCCCGTCACATATCTCCCCTTTTGGCAGGAGACTAACACAGGAGGAGACCTCAGACGGGTTGATTCTGAAGTTAGTCGGTACTTCCAGTCCCCCAATGCCATCACCCATACAGTACCCCAAACAAGTGGTCCCACACAAAGCATTGCTCACCCAACCAACCTCTGCCTTTCTCATAGAACATACCTGCCGCTGGGGAGAAATACGGGCTGGTCCTTCTCCCTGAAGTCCTCTCAGCCGCTGGAGAGAAAACAGGGTGGCTGACTGTTGGGGATCTGAGCTGACTGCCCAGCATCCCTTGGGTATCTAGGTGGTGACTGTAGTCTCATCCACTTTGACTTGATGGACATCCCCCAGTACTCGCAAAGTAAGGCTGACATCTCCTGTCCCAATGCCAGACCCTTTTCTGGGGTTGTGTCAGTGGAGACCAAAGTCCCATCCACGGACATCAGTTCAAGCTGCAGTTGTGAGGTGCCAATTGCATCTTCTTCCTGTAGCTCCTGCAGTGCTGATTGTTGTGGGCAGAGGCCAACAAAGCCATGCCCTGATGCCAGCTCTTCTGCTGGATTTTGGCTGGTTCCTCCTCAGCAGAAAAGTCAATCAAATTCCCAGTCTCTGGAACTGGTGTCTGGGGATAGGGTTTCACTCCTGTCCATTGAACCCAGAAGATGTTACCAGTGCTGGGCAGAGTTCAGCAATGTTTGTCCCTGTTGCCAGCTCTTCTGCTGGAGGCTCACCAGGTTGTTTTTCCTCAGAAGAGAAGTCTATCAAATCCCCAGTCTCTGGAACTGGTGTCTGGGGATAGGGGTTCACCATCTCCTGTCCATGAAACCCAGAAGATGTTACCAGTGCTGGGTAGAGGCTAGCAGAGCTCTGCCCTTTTGTCAGCACTTCAGGTTTGGGGACGGCAATCTCTGGAATTTTCACTGCTGATTCTTGGGCATGCTGCTGAACTTGTTTTAGCAGTTGCCTAAATGCCCTTTCCAGATGCTGTTCTTTTATCAGCAAGTATTCCAGATTTGGTTCAAGCTCTGAGACCCCTGTGAGACTGAATATAGCCTCTCTGTCTTCTCCCAGGACCTCAAGAGTAGGTTCTCCTTCATCGCCAAACACAAAATGATCTGTAAGGCTCTTCCACACCAATCCAGGGCCACCAAAGTCATATCCCTCTGGAGAGCATTCTGTTGTCACCCCTAAATATTTCTGCTCTGCATACCATTGCAGAGCCCAATATCAGTTGTCTAGCTCTATCTCCTGCTGGACCAGCCTGGCCAACTCAGTCACGCATTGCTCCTGGGGTCGCTCTCCCAGGAATGGCATCCTTAACCCCTTCACGCCTAAGGGTAAAACAAATCTAAAGGCCTAAGCACAATTCTGCACCGTTGACATGTGATAGCAAAACCGTACATATCATCACAACTACTTTGCACATCCAGGTGGATTATACCTTGATTTTTTTCAGGACAAATTGGGCTTTCATTTGGTGGTAAATGGTAATGGATATCTCCTGATTTTTTTTTTTATTATCAAAGGAAAAACTGGCCAAAAATAGTAAAAAAAATCCTTTTTTTTTTTTATTTAGCTATGTGTTTCTTGTTACGACCATAACCTACCACCAAAGAGCAACCCAAAATAAATTCTCCAGCTCTTGACGATCGCAGCGATACCATATATGTGTATGTTATTTGTTGTTTGTACCCGTTGTACAGCCCAGAAACCATAGTGCGCATTTTGTTTTTGTCTTTTTTTTTTTTTTTTTACCTAAAACACACTAACACTAACTGACACTGACATTAACACTAATTGACACTGATACCAATTTTTTTTAAAATCCTGACCTTTGACCCTGACCTTTTACCCTGACCTTTGACCCTGACCTAAACACTAACCCCGGCACTGAACTAGATCAAACCTTGATCTAGGTATTTTTTTTTATTTTTTATTTTTTATTTTTTAATATTTATTTATTTATCTTCTTTTTTTTTTTTTTTTACAAACTTTTTTTTCTTCTCTCTGATAGGAGTTCGAGAGATACAGTGTATCTCTCTTCTCCATTCATAGAGAGAGAGAGAAAAAAAACAAGGGGGCCGGGCTGCACAGTGACTGATCACTGGGCCGATCGTTAGAACGGGACCCGGTGCTCTCAGTGACACCGCGGTCTCGGTGCTGGGAGTGCGCCGAGGGGCGCGCTCCCAACACAAAG